GGCTCCCTGCTCAGCAGGGAGTCTGCTTCTCCCTCTGACCCTCCCCCCTCTCATGTGCTCTCTCTCTCAAATAAATAAATAAAATCTTTAAAAATAAAAAAATAAATAAAAATAAAATGAAAAAAAGGTAAAAACTTCCAATTATAAGACGAAGTTCTGGGGATATAATGTACATCATGGTGAATATAGTGAACATACAAATTATGTATTTGATGTTGCTAAGAGAGTAGATCTTAAAAGTTCTCAACACAGAAAAAAATATAACTATGTGAAATGATGGATGTTAACTAAACTTTTGTGGTAATTATATATATATATATATACACACATTGTTGTACACATTGGACTACAATATTACATGTAATATGATATGCAATATTATATGTAAATAATATCTCAATAAAACTAGAAAAAAATTTTTAAATGTTAAAGAAACAAAGAGATTGGTCTCTTAAATAAAAAGCAAATGAAAATTATCAAATTTGAATACATAAGTAGCAGATTACCCTGAATATTACCAGGTACTACCCAAAATTTCTGAGTGCTATCACTCAAAAGTACAGTATCATGTTGACCTTAAGTAAAAAAAGATAAAAGTATATTAGTAATCTATGTTTTGGCTACCAATTTTATTAACCAAGGTGAGGGTAATCACAAGAAACTAGTCTTCATATGCTTATCTTTGCAGATATATATATATATATAACAAGAAAACTCCATCAACCACAAATTTTGATTAGTGAAAGTTAGCTTGTGTTTCTTGGCATGGCCTGAGAATGGAGGAATAAAATGATTTTTATTAGCTGCTTCCCCTTTTGGTATCAGGGAAAGTGTAGTACTGACTGGTTCAGTCTTCCGACTTCAAATTTTAATTATATAATGTATATAATTTATGTATATAATTATGCTATAATTTAGCCTCATAAAAATAGAGCTTCAAACATACCATTTATTATGTATCATTTTCAAATCTGTTGAGTTCAAATCAAATTTTCTATGGGAAGTTGTGACACTTTCATTCACTTTCTCTTGAAAGAACTGACAAAAAGACAGTGGAAATCTTGCACAGAAGTGCAAGAGCCCGTGGCTCTGGGAGTCCCAAACAGACCAGGTTTGACCACTCACCCCAGACAAACTCCAAAGGCAGAGAGATGAGTGATGGTGAAACAAAAAAGGGATTTATTTCACTGAGGCCAACACCAGTGGCCTCAAAGACGGTCTCCAAAGTGCTGACAACATTCTAGGTTTACATAAAGCAAATGTAGGACAAAGGTCAGTGGGTACATGCAGGTGGGCAGAAAAGGCCAGGTGGATCATCCTCTGGTGGGGGGGCCGGAGGGGGGTTCTTGCTGCCTCAGGGCAATCCTTATTGCTTGAGGGGGTAGCTTTGGTTCCCATCACAAGATGCACTGCCTGCAGGGTCTTTTGCCTGTGTAAAGAGATAAGCTGGAAGGAAGAACTTAATCAGTTAGAAAGTTTGAGGTCAAAATGGAGGTAGTTGAAGTCCTCTTTCAAAAAGAGGAAGGTAGTGAACCATGGGTATACTATATTCCTATTTGTGTAAATAAATAGGAGGAAGGTATATATTCATAATACATGGTGTGTCTGCATAGGAGTCAGTGGTGGAAAGATTACTTTTCACATGGGTCTGTTTTACTCTTTCAAAAAATTAAAAAAAATATATATATATAAACTAAGAGAAGTATGACACTTAAAGGCATCTGTCTCAAAACTAGGATTAAGACTGCTAATTGTTAAATAACATCAGTTTGCTTAAAGGAAACTCACATTTTCCGGTAGGGCTTCTATCTTTCTTTATATAGGCTGATTTAAGACTGAGTTCTGCAAAGTTGCATGAAGGAAAGTGCTGTGAATAAGAAAAATGCCGTTTCAAAACTCTGATTTGTTAAATGGGGTACTATCAACGAGACTACCAAGACTTACTTGCTTTCTTCCTTATGTTAGTCAGTTGATACCAAGTAATGACTTTTATACCTATACTGTAGCCTCGAAGTGCATATATACTATCAGTACCCGGTCACCTTATCAAATATTTGGTGGGTGGGAGGAGGGCAGGACAGGAATAGAAATTTCAAATAATTGCAAAACCCATCCTGCTTTTAGAACACAGTCAAAAGCCTATTTTCTTCATGGTAAGCCAGGGGGGTAAGGTGTGGCTTATTATTAGATGCCCAGTTAAGTATGCATTCTAGTTGTAGCATAAGGAAAAATGGATACTAATTAGATCATTTGTGGACAGAAGTGACTTCTCAATTTGTTCTTTCAAATTTTCAAGGTTTTTTTCAGTTAATCACCGAATATTAATTATATTGAACACAAAATCATTCTTGAAATACTTCCTTCATTTGGTTTTCATTGAAGGCTACACTTCTCATTTTCTCTTACTGGCTATTCTGTCTCCTGCCATTCATTCAGCAATGTCTTTGTGACCTTGAGCAGGTAACTTAATCACTCTGGACCTCGTAACGATCAATGACGTTTTAGCATAGTCTTCGCTCCCTAAATGGTAATTCTTGTATAACGTTAATTGTTACTAACTACCACAAAGACAGTTCCGTGCGTCTGCGCTAGCCCGGCCTGAAACGAACCCACCCACACCTCGTAAAGAGCAAGCAGCAATGAGAATGCGGTGGAGGGGAACTGGGCTACGCTTTCCACGGCTGGAGCCAGGCTGGCAATCCTGGTGCAGTTCTCCACGCCCTCGCGCTGCTTAGCCCCACGGAGCTGGAACACAAGGCAAAAGGCTAGAATCCAGAAAAAGAGCCCGCTTCCGTGAGGGAAGCGGAACCCATGACAACGCCCCAATGACTTCCGACTTGGCGCACGTTTCCTTCAGCCCTATAACTGCACTTTCGATAAAAACATGGTGATTAACATAACATAAAATAAAATTTAAAAAAAACATGGAGTCCAATATTTCCCTCAGGCACCTCTATAGTTTCTTTATTTTCCCCTCTTTATGGCTCGATTTGACGATAAAGATTAAATTGGGAGGGATTATTGATAGGCGTGGCTACGGAAAAGGGGAGCATTTAAGCCGGCCTGGCGAAAGTGCGGAGCGGAAGTACCTCGTGCCCTCTCCCTCCGGCCGGAAGCTACGGGACTGAATGGATCCCGGAGCCGGCTGCGGCAGCTCCTCAATCTTCCTCTGAGGCTTGGCGGCCGCTGGGCCACCAGGTTCATGTGGAGGCTCCCAGGTTCCCGCGCCGCGCTTCGTGGGGTCCGCACGGCGGTGGAGCGGCACACTCGGGCCGAGGCGGCGACTGAGACAGCGGGCGCCATGGAGCGCGCTGTAGTGCGCTGTGTGCCCTCGGAGCCTAAGCTAAGCCTGTCGTTCGCGCTGGCCGACGGCAGTCACAAGAACATGCAGCGCGACCAAAGCGAGCCGCTGGGTCGGGCCCTCAGCCGGATAGCAACCAATGCCCTCAAAGGTCACGCTAAGGCAGCCGCCGCCAAAAAGAGCAGGAAGAACCGGCCAAATGCAAGTGGCGGCGTGGCCTGTGCGGGGCCTGGGCCCGAGCCGGCTGCGGCCTGCGAGCCCGTGGTGAAGCTGTACTACCGGGAGGAGGCAGTGGCTGAAGACGTGCTCAACGTGGACGCCTGGCAGGACGGCGCGGTGCTGCAGATCGGCGATGTCAAGTACAAGGTGGAGCGCAACCCGCCCGCCTTCACCGAGCTTCAGTTGCCACGCTACATCATGGCCGGTTTCCCGGTATGCCCCAAGCTCAGCCTCGAATTTGGGGATCCCGCCAGCTCCGTCTTCCGTTGGTACAAGGAAGCCAAACCCGGAGCGGCAGAGCCAGAGGGCGGGGGCCCCTCGTCATTGTCTCCCTCTTCACCCTCTCCCAGTTGGACAGAAACGGGTGTGAACGAGCGCGTCTACACGCCGTCCAATGCCGACATCGGGCTCCGACTCAAGCTTCATTGCACCCCAGGCAATGGGCAGCGCTTCGGGCCCAGCCGGGAGTTGGAAAGTGTGTGTCCCGTGGAGGCTGGGCCTGGCACCTGCACCTTTGACCACCGGCATCTCTACACCAAGAAGGTGACGGACGACTCTCTCATCCGCACGGTCTCTTACAACCTCCTGGCCGACACGTACGCCCAGACTGAGTTTTCGAGGAGCGTCCTGTACCCGTACTGTGCCCCTTATGCCCTGGAACTCGACTACCGCCAGAACCTTATCCAGAAGGAGCTCACGGGCTACAACGCTGACCTCATCTGTTTGCAAGAGGTTGATCGCAGCGTGTTTACAGAGAGCTTGGTGCCAGCCCTCGAGGCCTTTGGGCTGGAGGGCGTGTTTAGAATCAAGCAGCACGAAGGCCTGGCTACTTTCTACCGAAAGGCCAAATTCACTCTCCTTAGCCAGCATGACATTTCTTTCCACGAAGCCCTGGAGTCCGACCCACTTCACAAAGAACTGCTGGAGAAACTAGTTTTGTACCCGTCTGCGCGGGAGAGGGTGCTCCAAAGATCTTCTGTCCTCCAGGTAAAGTACCTCTGCCATTATTCTCTTTACATACTCGTCGATTTTTAGGGCCCTGGACGATTTTTTCAGATTTTACTGAAGGGAGTTTGCTCTTGTATCTTCAGCACAAAGGTTAGCTTTCATTCATTCATTGAGCAGATACTTATTGAGCACCTTTAGTGTGCCAGGCACGTTTGAACAAGACAAACGGACTTTCATAGTGCTTACAATCTCATGGGAAAGACACATGCTGAATACAAGAATATAGTAATTAATATTTTCTTACTACTTGCCAAGCACTGTTCTGACACATTAAAACACTTAAAATTTAATCACTAAATTCTATTCATGAAATTAATATTACAGTGTATGTTAACTAACTGGAATTTGAATAAAAACTCAAAACAAAACAATAATTGTGTCTGGCATGTTTAATGAAGTATTCCACAAATATTAATATTTTAATTTTGGTCATAGTAATCCTGCTATTTTCACAGATGTTATTTTTCCCATTTTACATACGGGGAAATGGTCAAGTTTACTTATCCAATTTCACACAAGTGTGGAGCCAGGATTCTTGCCCAATTACTTATATATTACATCATCACTGAGCAGGGTGTTAAGCTGCCGTAGTTTTTAAAAATATGTTATTTGTATATTTGTCCAGAGTTTTTAGGTAACTGATTTTGTTCATAGTAAGATTTTGGAGTAGCTACCTTTTTTTTTTTAAGCACCCAGTGTGTTTCATGCACCTCTTTGTAAGCTCATTTGGTTGAATCTATACAACAGTCCCCCTTGAGGTCGATGATAGTGTCTTTAACCAGTGACCAAGCTGACTTAGGAAGTGTCTCTCTCCAGGTCACACTGCAATAAAATGGTTAAGAGTGGGTATTCCATCTAGGTGGGACTGACTCCAAAGCCTGCCTTTACCCACTTAAAAACACCAACCTTAATGTTGTTCTCTAAAATAATATCCTTTTCTTAACTTCCTGTATGTTGGACTGTTGTTAAAACATGTTATGCTGAATCCTGTTCATGTGTATCCTGAAACTTGTAGCAAAAGTTAAATTTCATAATTGCAATTATACTTTTCAGACAGGGAAGGTTATTAAATGTCAGTTCATCATATAGTCTTGAATTTAAAAAAAAATTATTCAGGAGATTGACAGCAACTGAACTCTTGGCCCTTTGTTTATTTTAGGTTTCTGTTCTTCAGTCTACCAAGGACTCTTCTAAAAGGATATGTGTTGCTAATACCCATCTCTACTGGCATCCAAAAGGTGGGTTTTAGTGCTTTTCACAAGTGATGTAAACGTGGTAACTTAAGGTCAGTAAGGCTGTTTTACACACATCTTTTTTATTTCTTTCAGTTTTATTGAGATAATTTCATAACCACATGAGGTTTAAAGTGTACAGCACAATGACTTACATATATTGCAAAATGATTGCCATAATAAGTTTACTTAACATCCCTCACCTCAGATCCGAAAAAATGTTTTTCCTTGTGATGAGAACTTTTAGGATCTACTCTTAGCAACTTTTAAATATACCAGATATCATTAACTGTAGTCATTATGTTTCTATAGAATACTTATGTATCTCATAACTGAAATGTTTCTTTTTACCTTTGGGCCACCTTCATCCAGTTCCCCTCCTCCAAATATATATTTTGAATGTCACCCAGATACTGTATGTAGTTTGTGGGCTTTTTTTTTCTTCTTAAAGGCAACTTTTAAAAGTTCTTACATTAGGGGCACCTGGGTGGCTCAGTCGTTAAGCGTCCGCCTTCGGCTCAGGTCATGATCCCAGGGTCCTGGGATCGAGCCCCGCATTGGGCTCCCTGCTCAGTGGGGAGCCTGCTTCTCCCTCGCCCACTCCCCCTGCTTGTGTTCCTTCTCTAGCTGTCTCTCTGTGTGTCAAATAAATAAATAAAATCAAAAAAAAAAAAAAAAGTACTTACATTAATGTTTTTTATATTCACAGGTGGGTACATTCGTCTCATTCAAATGGCAGTAGCCTTGGCTCACATTAGACATGTCTCATGTGACCTGTATGCTGGCATACCGGTTATATTTTGTGGAGACTTTAATAGTACCCCATCAACAGGAATGTATCATTTTGTTGTCAATGGCAACATCCCAGAGGATCATGAAGACTGGGCTTCCAATGGGGAAGAGGAACGGTGCAACATGTCCCTTACCCATTTCTTCAAACTGAAAAGTGCTTGTGGTGAACCTGCTTACACAAATTACGTTGGTGGCTTTCATGGATGTCTGGATTACATTTTCATTGACTTAAATGCTCTAGAGGTTGAACAGGTGATTCCATTACCTAGTCATGAAGAAGTTACCACCCACCAGGCCTTACCTAGTGTTTCCCATCCCTCTGATCACATAGCACTTGTATGTGATTTAAAATGGAAATAGACTTATGTTTAATGGAATTTAAGTCTGCTTTAGTAGGAAATCTAATATGAATCACAGCTTATGTATAACCTTCAAAGAGGAAAACTAGACAGATACAAGGCAAAATGTTGTTACTCTACTAGTTATGTTCCAGTGTCTTCATTACACAACTGTTCATATTTGCAGTTTCTCCACTTTTCTTTTTTCCTATGGTTGAAGGAAAAACATACATTTATGACTCCCAGGAAGAACATTGAATTATTATGTACATTTTTATAAGTACCTTTTTTTTAGCTAGGAATTAAGAATTTTGTAAAAAAAAAAAACCATTTGATCCTTTTAATTTTTCTACCATAACACATTTCAAATTGAATCATGTTTATATAATTAAGGAAAAATGCATACAGGTTAAAGTGAGAGGCCTAAGTCTGACACATGAAAGGAGTAACATTAGAGTCTACCTCTACCTCAATTTGGCTAGAATTTAGTACAGCTTTAGAGCTTTAACAGAAGATTAAAATATGCCATCACCAATTGTTAATTGCTTCTCATCTTTAGTTTTTCAGTTAATATAAGGTATTATTCTTTCGTTTTTAGGATTTTACTTTTTAGTATATGGTTCAAATGGACATTTATATTCTTATTCTTACTGCAGCTCATTTGAACTTTTAGGATGCAAGCACAATTTAGTGTTCAAAGTGAATAACAACATATTCAACTTGATCCCATTTTCTTGCCCATGAAAAATGTTCATAAATCAATAGAGTATTTGACCATATGATACTGCAGAATGCAGCATGATAAATTACTTTATGAGAAACTGCCTACTGATACGGGCTTGACATTTTGGGTGAACCATTGAGCATTTCTTTGCTGGAAGTACTTTTGAAATTATTGGTTTTTATAAATAGGGGATTTGTGGGGCTTTTGAGCATTTCTGAAACAAACCGTTCTTTTTATATACTTGAGTATTATAGTTTGAGTTATAGGAAAACATTGTATATATAATTTATATACTGTAAAAAATTTAAATATGAAGCCAAACTTTTTAAAATTAGAAATGACAGTTTTAGTGATTAGTTTCTAGCCTCGAGTGGTAACTGAGCTCTTCTAACTCAGTTATCACCATACCTTATTTGTAATGCTTTAGCTGTTACTTTTTTAATGTTCAGGATAATTATAATGTCTCATATTTCTGCATTTAGTTTCTATAGCTTAGATATTAAAAGCCCACTCACTTCAAGAATTCTGATTTTCCACAGTCATGAGAGCTTTTGTCCCAAATTCGTTACTAATCTCTAAACCCAATACCATAAGAACTTTTCTCTTTTGATAAAGTGGGCTGTACTTAATAGTCTGCTCACTAGCCAATGTATTGTTCAGTCTTAGTAAGTTGGAGAATGAGTTTTACTTACAATTCAGTTTGAACCTTGAAGTACTTAAAATACTGGAAGGGGAAAATTAAAGTGGCAGTTTCTGGGATCTTGATTAGAAAAAGCTATAAAAAGTTGATGCTACCAAATTGTGCCTTCCTAAATAACATTTTTGAGAGCATTTTAACATCAGTTTACAAATACATGAATATATTAAAGCCAGAATCTAATTCTTCTTATTGTTTTCTTCCTTTTTAAAATGTTTTTGGTCTGCTTTCAAACATATTGACAGGACCCCTAAAATAACATGAGAGGAAACAAAGTTTCTAAGCAAAAAGTTGAGAGACATTTTGAAAGAAGAAATTGTAACGTGACCTGCTCGCTCACTCATGCCCATGAGGAAAACATTCAGATTCTGTATTAACACCATGGCTAGCTAGATTGAACTCTGGTCGGAAGAACTAATCACTTACCAAACATTCCACATCCTGAATCTTTAAATTTGATATTCACTCAAACAGTGTGTGATCAGATTATATCGGCATTTCAGAATAGTAGAATGTAGAATATTACAGTGAAGTGTGCTATGCTCTGGTCAAATCTCCAGTATACAGATATATTAGTATGAACGGAGTCCAAGGGTAGGGAACACTAAGAAAATTGTATAAGTAGGATGCCAAAATTACCTTGTATCATGAGTTAGAATAAAGTTTTATTCAGAAATGTTTATTTGCTTAAAGCCATCTTTGTGATTGAATTTTTCTATTACATTTGGATTTTTTAGTACATTTAATAAAGTATGGAAAGTGTAGCACCTCTTTTTCTATGGTGAACCCATTTTATGATGTCACAAGTTCTTGCCATAGGAATTAACACTCAAATTTTATATTATTGATTATAAAAGACTAAGAAAATTACAGAACACTGTCCTGTTAAATAAATTCTTGCACAATTGGCCATTGCAGAAATATACACTAGTAGTTTGTAATATATTAGCAAAAAAATCATTTCTGGCTATAATGTGATGTTCTTTAAAATTCTGAATCCCAAAATCAGTTTTAAATTTCCAAATATTTCGCTGGGTGGTGACTTTTCTGAGAGAACTAAGGGCTGATAATCAGAATCTGGCATGGTGGTTTCAGTCTGGAGGTGTATCTTGAGAAACAGTACAAGGGAGAGGGTCCAAAGAACACCATCATAGGAAGATCTTCCTCGTGGAGGTTGACACCATTAGATCTCCTATTCTTCAACTGTGCAATAAAGGCAGAGGTCCCCTACAACCTGGTTTGAGGGAAAACTAAAATCCCTATTAATGAAAATTAAAGGTCTGCATTACCAGGGTATCATAAAATCCAAATGACAACACAACAGGGAAAATCCTAAAAAATTATAGCCAACACTAATTCTCTAATCATAATTCAAAAACATTTAAATGTTTTGAAAGTTTAATATTTTACTCTAGTACTAGGAGGAAACACCTAGATTTCATTTAGGGAGAGGAAACAATTTAAGATTTTTAACTGATTGGGTAATCAAATTCTATGGTCCCATAATGAGAAAGTACATGCTTTAGCATGGAAGGTACTAGAGCTGTACTGGGTGATTTTTTAGTACGAACTTGAGAACAATAAGACTATATTTTGAGATGATAATACCAAAGCATTTTTTTTTAATAATTTTTTTATTGTTATGTTAACCACCATACATTACATCATTAGTTTTT